TGGCAGATGTGGGGACTACTCAGCCTCCTAATCATGTGAAAAATTCTTTATAGCAAATCTTTTGGGGTGGATGGATAAATAGATACAATAGATATATAGATATTTATAGATAGACAGGCAGACATGTTCTTCCTTTCTTTATATAGCTTCAAGTTTCTATCCTGTATCATTTTTCTTCTCTCCAAAGAACTTTAAATATTTTTTGTGAGGCAGATCTACTGGCAACAAACTATCTCAATATTTGGGTGTCTGAAAGAGTCTGCATTTCACCTTCATTTTTGAAGAATAATTTCATAGGACACAGAGTTCTAGGTTGATAATTTTTTTCTCTCAGTACCAGATATTTCACAGTACTACTTCTTGCATGGTTTCTGAGAAGAATTTGGATATAATTATTTTTGTTTCCCTGTAGGTAAGGTGCCTTTTCCTCTGACTTCTTTTAATACTTAAAAAACATGATATGGCTAGGAGTAGTGTTTGTTGCTGTTATTGTTGTTTTTTCTGCATTTATCCTGTGAGCTTCCTGGATTTGTGATTTGATGTCTGGCATTAATTTGCAGAAATTCTCAGTCATTATTGCTTCAAATATTTCTTCTGTTCTTTTCTTTCTTCCTTCTCTTGGTATTCCAAGAGTATATCTTTTGTAGTTATACCTTTTTGTACTTATACCTTTTGTAGTTGTCCCATCATTCTAGGATTCTTTTTTCAGTCTTTTTTTTCCTCATTGCTCTCCCACTTTGAAGGTTTCTATTGAGATACACTCAAGTTCAGGATTCTTTTCTCAGCCATGTGCAGCTTACTAATGGGTCCATCAAAAGCATTCTTCAATGCTGCTATGGTCTTTTTTATTTCTGGCATTATTTTACATAAACTTTGTGTCTCTGTGTCACTTTGGTAATTTGCTCAATATTTCAAACATTCTTATTTCTATATCTGCTTCTGCGATCTGTGATCAGTGATCTTTGATGTTACTATCTTAATTGTTTTGGGGCTCTGTGAACAGCATTTATGCAAGATGTCCAACTTAGTGGACGAATGTTATGTGTGCTCTGATTGCTTCACTGACTGGCCATTTCCCCATCTCTCTCCTTCTCCTCAGGCTTCCCTATTCCCTGAAACACAACAACATTTAAATTAGGCCAATTAATAACCTACAATGGCCTCTAAGTGGTTGAGTAAGAGTTACACTTTCATTTCAAATCAAACGTTAGAATTGATTAAGCACAGTGAGGAAGGCATATCTAAAGACAAGACAGGCCAAAGCTAGGTCTCTTGCAACAAAGTTTGTGAATGCAAAAGAAAAGTTCTTGAAGGAAAAGAAGTGCTACTCCAGTGAACACACAATGATAAAAATCAAAATAATTCTATTGCTGATATGGAGGAAGTCCAAATGGTCTGGATAGAAGATCAAACCAGCCACAACGTTCCCTTAAGCCAAAGCCTAACCCAGAGCAAGGCCCTAAGTCTCCTCAATTCTATGAAAGCTGAGAAAGGTGAGGAAGCTGCAGAAGAAAAGTTTGAATCCACAAGAGGTTGGTTTGTGAGTTTTAAGGAAAGAAACCATCTCTATAACATAAAAGTACAAAGTGAAGCAGCAAGTTATCCAGAAGATCTAGCTAAGATCAGGTGGCTACACTCAACAAAAGGTTTTCAACGTAGATGAAATAACCTTTTATTGGAAGGTGATGACATTTAGGACTTCATTGCTAGAGAGAAGTCAATGCCTGACTTCAAACTTCAAAAGACAGGCTGATTCTCTTCTTAGGGGCAAATGCAGTTGGTGACTTAAGTGGAAGCCAATCAATGCTCATTTACCATTCTGAAAATATTAGGGCCATTAGAATTGTGTTTAATTGACTCTGCTTGTGCTCTGTAGATGGAACAACAAAGACTGAACAACAGCACATCTCTTTACAGTGTTTACTGAATATTTTAAGCCTACTGCTCAGAAAAAGAGATTCCTTTCAATATATTACTGCTCATTGACAGTGTTCCTAGTCACCCAAGAGTTCTGATGGAGTAATACAAGGAGATGAATGTTGTTTTCATGTCTGCTAACACAACATCCATTCTGTAGCCCATGGATCCAGAAGTGATTACAATCTTTTTATTTAAGAAATACATTTTGTAAGGCTATAGCTGCCATAAATAGTGATTGCTCTGATGGGTCTGGGCAAAGTCAATCAAAAACCTTCCAGAAAGGATTTGCCATTCTAGATTTATAACATTTGTGATTCATGGGAGGAGATTGAAATATCAATATTAACTTCAAGGAGGAAGGAAGTCTCCACAGATGTAGTGAAAACAGCAAGAGAATTGGAGCCTGAAGATGTGACTGAATGGTTGCAATCTCATGATAAAACTAACGGAGTGAGGAGGTGCTTCCTGTGGATAAGCAAAATAAGTAGTTTCTTGAGATAGAATCTACTGTTGATGCAGTGAGCATTGTTGAAATGACAACAAAGAATTTAGAATATAACATAAACTTAGTTGATAAAGTAGTGGCAGGATTTGAGAGGATTGACTCCAATTTGGAAAAGTTCTATAGTAGGTAAAAAGCTGTCAAATAGCACTGCATGTTGCAGAGAAGTCATTCTTGAAAGGAAGAGTCAATCAATGCAGCAAACTTCACTGGTATCTTACTTTAAGAAATGGTTACGGCCACCTTAATCAGTCAGCAGCCATCAGCACCGAGGCAAGACCCTCCACCAGCGAAAAGAGAACGACTCATTGAAGGCTCAGATGATGGTTAGGTTTTTTTGCAATAAAGTATATTTAAATTAAGGTGTGTATATTTTTCAGACATGATGCTAATGTACACTTAATGTAACTATAGTGTAAACATAACTTTTAAATTCACTGGGAAACCAACATGTGACTTGCTTTTTTTACGATATTCGCTTCATTGCAGTGATCTGGGATGGAACTGCAGCATCTTGAAGGTATTCCTGTACGTCAGACTGATCTTGTCTGTTTGTGGATCCTCTGTATTGTTCTTCCACTACTCTTTTTCCCTACTTCTATCTATTTACATCATTGCTATGGACCTCTCTTCATATGTATTAAGTTTTCCGAAGAAATTCTCTCTCTCGGATGTTCTGGGGTTTTTAAAATTTGTTTTTGTTTGACTCTTGCTTATCCATTTCTCTGCCAAAATTCCATCTGTTCATGATTTCCCACCTTTTCCACTAGATGTGTTAATATATTAACCAGTTGTTTTAAAGTCTGTGACAGTCCCAACATGTGCGTCATCCCTGAATTGGGTTGTTGACTTTTGATTGACTGCCAGACATCATGTATATAACAGAAGGAATAAGGTAGATTGTGCTTACATCTCTAAGTGCACATACTTCTATCAGACTACCAGTTTGGGGATTGTGTCAATGCAGATATGTTTATATGGTCTTGAATTGTCTTGTTGCTGTTACCATTTCAGTACAGGCTTCGAATTCTTCCAGTGATGACTGCTGTGCCTTATGCTTACAGAGCACTTGGAGTGGAGGAGGATTTTCTGAGTCCTACCACCAACTTTCAGGAATCCCTGCATGCCTACACCACAGAAAGATCTATAATCATACACTTGCTGCTTCCTCAACATTAGACTGGTGCTCCTTGTTACTCAGTGCTAGGCTCATTGCAGGGAAAGGAAGGTTTTTTTCTGTCGCCCTTGGCTAGCCTTAGTCTGAGGCAGGCTTTATGCGTCTGGCCCTCAGGGATTTGGCTTTCTCTACATCCCAGCTCCACTTCCTGGCAATAACAAAACTCTGTCTTAAATCTATTGTTGGTCTTGTGTGAGCAAGAATTTCTTGTCCTCCCCCAGTCGCAGCAGACCTCTTCTTGCTACCCATGTGGGATCATGGGCCAGGTGGTTTTTCTGTCCCTCCTCCAGGGTCATTTCTTGCTTCTACTCCTTCTCTGGCAGTCATGATTGTTTGCCTGTGTCCTGAAAGCCGAGCATTTCCTACCCTTCTCCCAGATGCAGATGGGTTTTGCCTATATTCCTCCTCCAGAAGCAATGAATTTTAGCCCAGGCCCTAGAGGTGAGAGGGTTTGTTGCTCTTCCCCACAGAAGCCCAAGGCTTTTGCATCCTTCAAGAGAAAGGCCTGGGGAAAGCAGGCAGGGGTGTCATACCCACCCACCAGCTGCAGTCAATTACCTTCTGTGTACCTGAACCACTGAGACTTTCTGGTGCCCTGTCTTAGGACTGTAGGAAAGAACTGACGAGTGTATATGAATTGCCCTTATTTGAGACATAATAAGCATGCCCACACATAGCCTTTAAGAATTTGTTCAACTTTTTGCTGTTTTCTTGCCTGTGTATACTGGCCACCTTGTTCTCTTGGGTGCTTCCTAACATGAAAGTTTATTTGTATGTTCCATCTCTCCTTGAAGGGCTTATCACTCATTGGGGTTAAGTTTGTCTTGTGATCTCAGTTCAAGGGCAAGCTGTAATTTTATAGATTACTCAGCATTTTCTCCTTGCTAATATGGGAATGACAGTCTCCTGAGGCTTTCTGTATCCTCTCTAGTAGCAGAACTCTGACTGCCTCTACTTAAGTTGATTTTCTGATATTCTCTTAAGTCATTAACATTTGGATCACTGCACCTATCAAAATTTGTAACTCCATGAAAACATAAACTACAACCCTTCCTTGTTGTAATTCATTATACCTAGCACCATATTAAACACACAGTACTCAAAATGAAATGGAATGATACATATGACAGGGATTTATATTTTTAAAAACAAAAAACATTAACCCAAGATACTGAAAATACCAGTTAATTAAAACATCCACAGAAGTACTAAGGGACAGAGGGAGAGGAGAGCCAAGAGCACAAAGGTAAGTGGAGTTAGGTTTTCATTCATAATCTCCCTGGAGAATCTATCTACAATGTTGTCTGAGTTCAAACATAAAGCACAAATAAGAAAATATAGCCCAAAGCATTCTTTAATTAAGCTGTAAGAAAAATCGAAATAAATGAAACAGCAAAACGCATCAGTAATTCCTTATTGTTTATTCTCTTCTTACAAAAAAGACACTTGGGACAAATAAATATAAAATGGCATGTCATATTTAGCAATGGGCAAATACACATTTTCCTGGTATTCCCCACAGGAATAAACTAATACAATTTTCAGAAGTACACTCATTCTACCCACCTCTTATCATCTAAAATAAGGGGGGGGGGGGGGTAAGGGCCAATTCTTTTAATTCCCTATGATTTTTAACAATGAGTTCTCAAAATAAGTAATCTAGCACTACTCAGGGACCAAGACATTGAATCAACAAGTTAAAAAAAAAGTATGTGTACACACACACACACACACACACACACACACACACACACACACACACACACACACACACACGATGTTGCCCAGAAGCTCCAACTAATGAATAGTCATACATTTTTCATTTCTTATAATTTGCATGAATAGTTTGCTCGGTTCAAATCTGCATGGCAAGTAAAACAAACAGCTGAGTACAGTGTGTGTGTATATATTATATACACACACTCACTTTTCTGTTCTATAAGAAAACATTAAATACAGGTATACTGAATACACAGTGAACATACCACTTGTTTTCTTAAAGTCAACAAAACCCTAATTTCCTATACCTTGGAGGTGATACAGAAGGCAGACAAATACCAAAACCATTCGTGACCAAATGCACATAATAAACACGTCCTGCCTGTTGGCTCACGATAACACACAAGTTTGAGCAATGGTGAATATCCAAGTGTATCTGTTTAACTAAAATTTATCTTCAGGCTAATACCTGAAGAACTTTGCTAACACGTTCAATTCTTTCTTTCTTAATGATCTATCTACCAAGTGGAAATATGTTACTTCAGTAATACAGTTACTTCAAATCAGAACATAAGCAGGGATTTTTTCTCACCTTCTGACCTTCAAAAAATTAGTTTTAAAAATCCAATCCAAATAATCCCTTATTTGGTGCTTTATAATCACTGTCTGCTTTATGAAGACTATTTAGAAAAGCAGAAAAGAAAATGTTTAAGGGGTCATCATCAAAATAACCAAATAGATTTGAAGTGTACTTTCTACACTACCTGGGCCCTGTGCTAATTAATTACATTTTACTAGATCCCTTGTAATGTTACAAACATGAATTGTAAAATAGAAAAACTGGCTTTTGTAATTTAAATATGCCCCCTCCTCTTCCACACCTATTCCACAAATATCTTAAGCAGAAAATTAATCTTGTTGCTTTGCTAAAAACGGTCCCTAATAAGCCCTTTGTGCTTTTTAGGGCCAGTTCCAAATTTAAGGGATTTATTCACTCTGAGATTGCAAGGAAGAAGGAAACAAACAATATCAGTACAAGGAGAACCACACATAAGAAAAAGCACCTAGTGACGGAGGAAAGGCAGCTCTGCTATCCTACCTATCAGCAGTAAGCATGCTCATGTTTCCATGTACATGACAGCATAAGTTCTCCAAAACCCGGGCATTTTTGGTTCTGGTTCTATGTCTAAAACTTTCTTTAAATTTCATAGCCAATTTAAAATTGGGGGAAATATATTTTTAAAATCTTATGGGTGAAGATCACTAAATTATGAGAATAATTTCCTATGTGGCAAGTGACAACTCTCCAGAAATGTAAATAAATACCGGAAAGCCCAAAGTGAACAGCCAGTACATCGACATGCATGATCAGGATCCTACGAAAGTCACAAGACACTGAGATTCTCTGGTTTAAATTAGCCTCCTCATGGCAGAAGACACTGTTTCATGATGAACGCAGGTTGTGCTTGCTCACTATTCATGAGACACAGACATCACTACAGCTCAGGTCCCATTTTGTGACAATTTAGAAATCCAAATTTAACTCCAGCAAATGTAAATCTGGAATATGAATTTGAAGACAGACTGTACAAAGAGCAGTTGAGTGGAACCTGCCTGCAATAATCCTTTATTTTTTTTAATCCTTTAAGGCTACAGAAAATCTGCACATAAACAAGGCAATTAATTTTCATAATAAAAATATCCCCCTATAAATAGCCAAGGTGTCCAGTCAGATTCCACAGTGAGTATATGTTGTATCACATTCTATTCCACAGGTGTACTTCCTTGTGAGTCTGCTGGGTCAGGATCAATTCTTTCTGGAAATATTAGCTTCTCACAAACTGCTTCCTTTATTGGTAAATACTGGGATATTTCATTAGGTTCCGTGAAGAGGGAAGGTGAAACATGCTAGGAAATATATAAATCATATTAGCATATACTCAGTTATTGTATTGACACTTCTTGAAAATGCTTTTGTAATTTTTAACTTTGGATTCAAGGGGTACATGTGCAGGTTTGCAACATGGGTACACTGTGTGATGGTGAGGTTTAGGCTTCTACTGAACCCATCAGGCACACAGTGAGCATGGTACCCAAGAGGCAGTTTTTCAATCCTTGCCCCTTCCCTCCCCCTCCCTTTGAAAACGTTTTGGCGCAAGCATTTACAAAGCATGCCAATTTCAAAATCAGGTGCAAATATGCATATAAGAATCACCAAAAAATAACAGGTATTTTTTGTTAATGAATCATTCAACTTTGTTACTGGATGATTTCATCAAACACCACAAAGTTATTTAATTTATAATGCTCCCATAAATATCCTAAGAATTTAATACATCTCAACCCAACTCCCTATCCCTGTTGCTCTTGTAACTTAAAAACACTAGTCTTCAGCTGGGCACAGTGGCTCAAGCCTGTAATCCCAGCACTTTGGGAGGCCAAGACAAGGGGATTGCCTGAGTCTTCAGGTTTGAGAATAGCCTGGGCAACTTGGCAAGACCTCATCTCTACAAAAAATTAGCCGGGTGTGGCAGCGCACACATACATTTCTGGCTACTTGGAAGGCTGAGGCAGAAGGATCCCTCGAGTCCAGCAGGTTGACACTGCGGTGTCTGTGAGCGTGCCACTGCACTAAAGCCAGTGAGACTCCAACTCAACTGCCCCCACCAAAAAAACACTAGTCCTGAATTAGAAACCAGTATGTATTCTATGACAGAATCTACATAACTTTTCTAAACCATGTATACTCTATACCCAGACAGAAATAAATATCAAGGGTGAAAACAATATCAAGTTTATAGGAAGGTATCACTTTTTAAGCAACAATTATAGAATCCTAAGTTCTAAGGAAGTCCTTTCACAAGTCCCAGGAGAGCAAATAAATAAAGGGAAATTATGCCAAACAAACAAGTCATGATATTGAATCATCACATTTTAGGGGGGGAAAGGAGATTGTGTAGAAAGAAATGACAGGCTGGCAGAGTAGTAAGTGGAAATTTGGAAACCCAATTGTTGTCATCATCAACGAGCTCCATCACCCCTTTGGGTTTCAATTTCTCCAGAGCAAAATGTGGAAATTAGATTGAATGATGGCTAAAGTACCCAGCAACTCTAAATGTTTTTGTAGGTAAGGTAAGCTCAGAAAAGTTATGCTCCAGTAGAACTTATCCTATAGATTCTTCTTGGAGAAATAATAATTTTTTTTTTTTTTGAGTTGGAGTTTCACTCTGTTGCCCAGGTTGGAATACAGCCTCATGGCCACAGCAGCCTCTACCTGCTGGGCTCAGGCAATCCTTCTGCCTCAGTCTTCCAAGTAGCTGGAACTACAGGCATGTACCATGATGCCTGGCTAATTTTTTGATTTATTGTAGAGACGAGGTCTCGCCAAGTTGCCCAGGCTGGTCTCAACCACTGGGCTCAAGCAATCCTTTGCCTTGGCCTCCCAAAGTGCTGGGATTACAGGCTTGAGCCATCACTCCTGGCCTAAATTTAATTTTTAAATTTTAAATTAAATTTTAAAAAAGAATATATCCTATAGAGGCCCATTAGGTGAATGAATGGGTCTAGGGATATAAACATTTGGGTAGTTGGGGTTACAGGGATACCATACTTAAATGAAACATTAAAATTCAACTTCTAAAAACTGAAATTTAAATACTTACCATTAAATTAGCAATTGTGCTTTCTCGTGAAGTATATTCTCGTAACATGTAGGTCTTGTCAGCCTTTATTTAAAAATAAAAAAGAGTAATAAATTTAACTATACTGAGTTACAAATCTTTTCTATTAAACAGACTGCCTACATTTTAGAGCAGGTTGTATGAAGCATGAAGTCTGACATAAACACCTTGTTCTACACTGAGATAACTCCTATTTAGCTCTCACCGAGAATTCTAAATTATTATTTCCAGTTCCTATATTTTATAGTAATACTGGATGCACATTGTAAACAGATTTAATAATTACCATGTAAGAGAAACATAGGCAAAGGCTTACTTTGAAAGGATGTGTATGTAAACAAGAAAGAGATTTTGATGACAAAGTTTGGAATTACATCTTTTCCTTATGCTGTATTGTTATTTACCTACATAACTATGGCTACTTTTCTGTTCCAAAAAAAATGCTTAAAATTTTTTATTCTTTCCCATTGCCACAAAACTCCTGCCAACTTGCTTACTTAAAATCACCTTGTTTGTAATTTAGTTCTTCCCACTTAAGATTTTTAAAGTTAGGTTTTGGAACGGTAATTTATTACAATTTTCTTCTTGGTTAAAAAATTTTTATTGTGTGTGTGTTTAGTAGAGCTGGAGGTCTCAATATCTGTACTGATCTCCAACTCCCAGTCTTCAACTGCTGGCCTCAAGCAATCCTCCTGCCTCGTCGTCCCAATGCTGGGATTACGGGTGTGAGCCACTGTGCCCAACCCACACTCACTTTTCAAAATTCAACACTGAGATGGATATCTTTCTAAATTAGTTAAATATAATTCTCTGCCATCAATTTTAACAATTGCTTATTTTTCAATTATATGGATATTAAAGTTAACAATTTAATCAATACTCATTTAATGGGCATTAAGTGCCTTCCTTCCTTCCTTTTTGCTATCATAAACAACATTGTTGTGAACATTCATGTACATACAACTCTGGGCAGTTGCCTGAATATTTGTAGACTACTATATAAAATAATCTTTTGAAGCCGGGCTCGGTGGCTCAGCCTGTAATCCCGGGCCTTTGGGAGCCCGCGGGTTCAAGGCGGATGTACGGTACAGCAGCCAAGTAGCTGGAATTATAGGCATGCGCCACCACACCCAGCTGATTTTTTGATTTATTGTAGAGATGAGGTCTCGCTGCCCAGGCGGGTCTCGAACCCGTGGGCTCAGGCAATTCACTCACCTCAGCCTCCCAAAGGCGCGGGAATACAGGCTGAGCCACCGAGCCCGGCTCTCTCTTTTTTTTTTAAGAAAAACATTTTTTAAAAAAATCTTATTTACTGTGTTATTTCAAGAAAAAAAAATCCCTTAGTAAAGATCTGGGAAAACCCCAACCCAATCCTATCCTACCGGGTTCAAATTCCAGTTCTGCTACCTACTAGCTGCATAATTTGGACAATTTACCTAATTCTTCTTTGCATTAGTTTCCTCAGTATAAAAAAGCGATAATAGCAACACTGATCTCATAGGATTGCTATTAGAGTTAACCATTACCATGACTATCATACCTAATACTGGTGATCCCTTCTCTAATTCTCCATTCTACATGATCACAAATCTGAAGTTAAAAATTCATTCAGGGCCAGGCATAGGTGGTTCACACCTGTAATCCCAGAACTTTGGGAGGCCAAAGTGGGAGGATTGCTTGAGTTCAGGAGTTAGAGACTACCCTAGGCAACACAGTGAGACTTCATCTCTACAAAAAATAAAATAATTAGCCAGGTGTGATGTGCTGTAGTATAGTCCCAGCTACTTGGGAAGCTGAGGCAGGAAGATTGCTGGAGCCCAGGAGCTGGAGGTGCGGTGAGCTGTGATCATGCACTGCACTCCAGCCTGGGCCACAGAGTGAGACGGCAACTCAAAAAAAAAAAAAATTTCACTCAGAAATTAAGTCCTTTACCTTTTTTAACATAAAAAAAAAAAAACCCTGTACATTAACACCTCCTTCAGATGGAACGCAGAGCTTTCAAACTTTAAAACAACTATCAAAATAATTATGTAATCCAAATTTCAGGAGGCCATGTAATTGGTATTTCTAACATCAGGACATTATATATAAACAGCACATGTAATAAACAAAAGTAAAGGTTAAAGGACAGTTTTCTTAAACACAGATTAAGTACATACAAATTTCTTTTAAAATGTTCCTTCCCCACTAAGAAGTGTCTTTTAGAAAACATTTTCAGCTACCAGAACTTTTAAAAAAGAAGATCTATTGTTTCAATAAAAGGCGTAAGGTCAACAGTGAATTTGAAACACCTAAACTTAAAGATTTAAGGAGGACTGCCATATAATAGATTATTTAACTTCAGATTCTCAGACTGCCAGTGAAGTAACATAAACAGTATCAATTAATGTATTCACTAAATGAGAAGAGATACCTCATGGTAAAGTCTCGTGTCATTCATTCTGATAAGCACCCCATCAATTCTCAAGAAAAACCGCAACAGCAGGAAAAAGCTAGAAGGCATTACTCTCTGGGGAAAAAAAAGACACAAATATTTTAATAAAAATTAAATATTATATTACTTTGCTAAAAGGAAAAATTATTTTTAAAAATAGCATTGGAAAAGGACTGAATAGCAGTATATAAAAATCTCTGAACTAGAGGTTCTTTGTCCTAGTTCTAACTAGCTTCAAAACTTTGTGCAAACTAACATCATAGTTTGTTTTCTACAATGACAAAATATTTTTCTAGTTCAAAAAATATTGAAGTTTAAAAGATACCCAAGTAACATGAGAATTATAATGCTCACTATGTCAACACCAACACCAAAATAAACGAAAACAACCTAGTTGTTTGTCATTACTCACTTTTATTCACTTTACATAAAATAAAGGCAAAAGACCTTAAACAGAACGCTTTAATTCAGTGTAACCAATTAGGCACTACGTAATACTGCTAAAGATATGTCTAGCACATGTTCTTAATACCTTTCATTTGTGGCACATCGACAAATTCCTGTGCTTTCTCAGTATAACTACTAAAGAAAGGCATTATCAGGAGACAGAGTAAGAAGGTGGGGCCTGGGGGCAGGAAGGGAGCAGTTGGATGGCATTTAGATCGTTGGAATGAATATGCATGGTTATTTACAATAAGTATTGTTCTAAGTGCCAAGTTTTTACTATATAGTAGGTCTTGGATTTATATAAACGGAAAAATAGAATCCCAATACTCGAAAAGTTTATCAACCAGGGAAACAGTCAAACTGATGTGGCAGCTGCTATAACACAGGCATGTACAAGGCTCAACAAGCACTCAGAGGAAGAAGGACCGATGTCTGCTGGAGAAAGGCAGGAAGGCAATGCTTGGGCTGACCATGGAAAGAACAGCTAGGGACGGGAAGGAGAATTCTGGAAAGGGGAGCAGCATGCACAAAAAGTACAGAAGCATGAAATGTAAGACATATTCAGGGAAGTGCCTGTAGCACAGGGGGACATTAATAAAGAAAGAAGAAATCGCAGGATAAGCCAGTAACAACAGTGGCTTACTGCTTAGAAAGTCACCAGCTGCAGGCTAAGCACTTTCCTGCCTCAGGAAATTTACACATCAGTACTCCTACCTCGAGTATTACCCTGGTTAATCTCACTTGTCCTTCAGATCAGTGTAAACTGTCACTTCCACAGGAGGCCTTTCTTACCACTTACATCATGGTACTTTCCCCTTGTCATTCTCTCACAGCACCCCATCACAGATCAACAGACGTGTAACTCTATTCATTCATGTGTTTACCTGCCTAATGCCTATTTCTTCCCACTTGAGTAAGCTTCATGACAGTGGAAATGTCTGCTTTGTCCATCGCCATATCCCATTGCCTAGAAAAGTATCCAGTACACTGCAAGAGCTCCTTTATCATTAGCTGAATAAAATAGCCATCTTTGCAAGAGAAAAGGCTCCAAGTCAAACTGCATTCTGATGGGGTTATCCGCAACAGACTTAAAAGCAAGACGTATAATAAAGGAAGGCTAGAGAAAGAAACCTGACTTATGACAGCTTGATACGTTACAACAAATTGGGATGCCATCATTATTACTTGACATTATTATAGACAGCTTTTTATAAATGATGGAAAAGGCTGATTCATAACATTTCTTCAAATTTTCATAATTAGTTGTTAACAGTCACACCAGGTATAACACAGGCAGCAAGTTGAGCCATCATTCAGCAGGGCAGAGTGGGGAGAGCAGGAATCAAGAGGCCAGAGTCCTAGTGTCATTTCTGCCACTAGCACATTGTATATTTTAGGGCAGTACCTATCTCCTAAAGGATGTCTGGGAATCTGTGATTGTATTTTTTGTTGTCACAACAATAAGCAACCAATATTAACATTTAGTAAGTAACAACCAGAAATGGTAGATCTGGGATACACATGACACTCCTACACAACAAAGTCCAGTCCTGCATCACACAAAACTTCCAATCTCTCACCTGGCATTCATGCAGGTGAAAAGAGCCCAATTCCATTTTACACAGAAATTAGAAATTCACCCAACTATCCAGGAAGGCAACTATCTCGTAAATCAAAGAAAGATTCTATTGTGTTTTATTCAGAACGTCACTAAGAGTTGTCACCATTTTGGAAAATTGTGTTATTTGAGTCACTAACTGACATATGACATCTCTATCAGCCTACAGTTGTAGCTATTGTATTCAAAATGGCTCAATATGCAAATATAAGTACCTAACTACTTCATTATATCTTTAATACAGTCATTTTATGGATCTACACATTGAAATACATTTTATTCTAAATCCATTTCCTCTCATTTCCCTTTTATTTTATCATTAAGATATTATCTTGATTCACTGCAAAGTAGGTAGTCAACTTATCTATGAATTTCACTTCAGGGTAGTAATATCTATAAATTAATACTTCAGCTTAAAGTATTTACTAAAAAAAAAATGAGCTAATGGGTATAAGGTTGAGAACCTCTTACTCACAGCAAAAGTGACTAAACCACCCAAGGTCTCCCTCTTCATCCACATAAAGAGGGGAAGGAAGAAACAAATCTCTGAGGCACTGTCTCTCTGTAAAATGTGACAATTAAATAGGACTGTGTTTCTAACATTAGCTACCACTGCACAGACATGGCAGAATTCCTTGTCCCAGAGATGAAGAAGATGTTCCTGTTCTGTAGATTTGATACCTAGGTAAAACATGCAAGCAGAAGGTGGACAATTTTCACCCTGACTCTGCTCGGATGGTACTAACCATTTACTGTAACATCCCTGACAGAACACCACAGCACTGCCAGTATTTATTTCCTTTGAAAGTTAAAATCTAATATATTAGCATGAGGATATATTCTCTTTAGATCTCTATTATTAGAGAAGCTGCACAAGTCATAAGCCCGGCCAAGGAGAGTAGAATGTTAGGGACACAAAATTCCAACCTAAAAACAAATATTGAAGCTAATTTAGAAATACAAGAATTTCTCAAGCAAATATCTTTTAATTAGATAGAGGGAATGCCATTCACATATAAAGTTATCAAAACTCACAATAAACTCAATGAAGCAAATCCGAAACATCCAGATCTCATTGTGTACAGAGCTCTAAATCTACTCTTTTCCCTGGGAAGCTGTACTACAAGGAAACAAGGACTTTTTTTTGTAAAGAGAAACTTGCCTAGGTGCAGAATTGAAAACAAGGTGGGGAAAATGCTTCAAAACTCTGAAACAGCAAAATACATTAAGAGTAAATTAAAAGGCTCTATCCAATAATATCAGTAATCTGAAATAAATTAGTTTGTCATATAAGCAGCTTTCATTCTTTCAGCTGCACTTTTCTGAGTGTTTTATAATTACTATGAACACCAAGAAATAAACACTCATAAGCAAACAGTCTTGAAATTCTAAAACAATTAAAAACCTTTAGCAGTTTTCTTGCCAAAGTTAAAACATCAAGTAAAAGCAATGAACACTACTACTACTGCCACTTCCAATGAGTCTAAGAACATTCTGAAAGTGAGATGATATAAACAGGGGGAACCCACCTGTGATAAATAAGAAAAAAAACGAATTTTCACATATTCCATACCTAGTAACACGCCTAGCAGTAAGGAAAGATATAAGGTCATCCCTAAAAATATATAGTTCTTTAGAAAGCTCTGTTAAACTAAACATAATTTCTGATGGGTACAAATTTTACTTGATACCAATTGGGGACATGTAGATTTCAAATCTGGGAAAGCTCTAAGGGGAAAATGTCAATAAAATGACCTTCTTAGGTGAGCTTTAAGTGGAACATACCTAGTGAGGGCTTTGGAAATGATGATCACACTTCATTCTCTAGCAGTAGGTAATATGACAGCTTGAACTCATCAATTCTCACAACTGCTAACTCAGAAAATGCAACAGTAATCACCTTGCTCTACCACCAGACCCTTCTCTCCTCTGGCTGGAGAAATCTGTACACCTAAATCTCAGATCAGGGACTAACTCCCTGACTTACTCCCTTCATTCTCACATTTGTCTATCCATCTTTCCATTCAACAACATACTGCAAGTGTGCTATGTATATTCAAATAAATATTCCTTGCCCAACAGTGTTCAAAAAGAACTAAATCTCGAATCTCCCTATGTAATTTAGATAAACTCCAGGTTTGAGAATCACTGAAGTAGAGACAGACTTACCCACATCCCATTCCCCTTCCCTCCTATCATCATGGAAGAAGCAGATCTCTCTTCTCTGCCAAAGGCTAATCCTTCTACCTACATCTAGATCCTAATGGACTATGAGCAAGAACAGAGAGTCAAATTGACTCACTGTGTGATTGATCTTGGACAAGTTACTTAATATCTCTGTCCCTCCACTTTCTTATCTGTAAAACAGGGATATGAAGTATTCACTGCATAGCAATTTCCTTAGGATTAAGCGAGACGATGTAGGCCAATTCTAGCATGGCATCTCACAGATAACAAAGGCTCAATGCCTTCCTCTTCCTTCTCTATTCCTTATCCTCAGAAACCTCACTCTATCCACCTTCTCCCCTCTTCGTAAGTGGCTACATCCTGTAAGCATCTAAACAGGCTAATTTTCTCTGTATTTAAAAAACTAAAATACACACACCTCTGTCAACCTCATGTTCTCTCTTAGCTATGTCTGTTTCTTCTCTGCACTCTTAAATTTTCTGGAAGTTTGGCCTACATCTACACTCTACCTCCACCTCTACGTTTTTCGTTTACTCCCTAATCATGTAACTTAAACTGTTCTTGCCAAAGTGAGCAACACTATCCTAACTGCTAGCACAAAGTTTTTAGTTCTGTTCTAAGCTTACAAGACCTCTCTCAACATGACACTGATCTTGATGCCTTCCTTCTTGAAAAGTATGACTTCCTTAGTTTCCCAAATGCCACATGCCTGGTTTCTCATCTACATCCTTATTTGCCAAGCTAGTCTTCGCTTCCACAGAAGTGAAGGAAACTTCATTTGTCCATGCCCCATTGCCCCTAAGCCAGAAACTGTCATTTACTTTATTTACAGTAACATTCGTTACATTGTTAGAAAGGAACCAACCCAGACAAGGACAATATTCTAATGAAATTCTTCCAGGGAGTCTTACAAAAACAATCCTGTTACATAACTTACACTTACACAAGGTGAGAAGACAGAGCACTTGAGGTTATTTACTCTGGTACACACATAATACATTTATGCCCATATCCTCTCGGGCAACTCCTTCCTCCACAAAAAACATGTGTTCCCCACATACCTACCCACTCAGGTACATCATAGATATATGTCCACCCCCATGGATACAGATGCACACCCAGACATGCAAATGCATAAAGAATATCAACATAGTCAATGTAGTAGGTGGCAGACAGGTAGAAAGGTACATGACTGAATGAATTAGAGAGTGAATACATCTAGATGAAGAAAGGTAAATTCAGAGAGTTGTTAGTGAGTAAGGGAGTAAGGTGCTATGAAAACAACTACCTAATGCTAGAATGCTGATTTATATTAGATGGTACAACAAAAACCTTGCAAATAATTCGTTTCAAGATCTTAGGTAAACTAATCTTTTTGGACTTGTCTATAAAATACGGAGGCTGGAGTAAATGATTCTCTAAAAATTTACTACAATTCTAAAATCCTATGATTCTATAGAAAAATGTGACTTTAAAACAAATTTGTTCTGCTTTTATGTTGTTTTCATTCTTTAAATCACAACACACAAACACATGCTTGATGCTGTGAAGACTTTGACAGACTTCATGATAAGTACCATAATTGAGATTTTTTTTGTACTTATTACAGTAGTATGGAAAAGGACTACTTAACTCTGCCTAGGGGCAATGTGAAAGGCCTTAGAGAGGAGGTAATATTTTAGCTAGGTCTTAAAGAATAAGGCATACAGTAAAAAGTGTCAGATGAGTTTTTTGGGGGAATATTAGAAACCCAATGATAGCCTAGTAGTAAACAAATACAAATTAACTGCTAGTGGCCTAATATGCTCTTTAAGTATGCTCCACCAGTAACACTGTTAGTGAAAGTATTTTTGTCTTCCACTGCCAGGAAACAATACATAAGGAGAAGGAAATTTATACTTCCCATTTCTGTTTTCTACTCCTATGCTGAAAACTGAAATGGTAGTTTAATGAGGCACTGAAATCCTAACGCATGGTTCATTTTTTAAAATGACATCCACCTTGCTAGCTGTAGATCCTACCAACATCATTTTTAATACAAAATATGAACATTAAGCCATAGTCTTCATGCAAGATTAAATAATAAGCAAATATGGGCCTGGGCTCAGTGGCTCAGCCTGTAACCCCAGTACTTTGGGAGGCCAAGGCAAGTGGACTGCCTGAGCCTGCAGGTGTGAGACCAGCCTGGGCAACTTGGTGAGACCTTGTCTCTTCAGCAAATAAAAAATTAGCCAGGCATGGTAGCGTGCGCCTGTAGTTCCGGCTACTTGGAAGGCTGAGGCGAAAGGATTGCCGGAGCCCAGCAGGTTGACGCTGGGGTGGCCATGAGCATGCCACTGCACTCCAGTCTGGGCGCCAGAGTAAGACTCCAATTCAAAAAAAAAAAAAAAAGATTAAATATTAAGCAAATAAATAATAAAGTAACCAGGGGTCTATTTAAAAATGCTCTGCCAAAGTAAAGATTTATGTTTTTAAAAAGTCCTTTGCTAAACTTAAATACTAAGAGGTAGAAATTTTATAAAGGGTATTCAATAAGATGTACTCTAGATCCAAGAGGAACTGTATGTGATAACACGTTAAAACTCAGTGTGATTCAAAGTGAGTCTCATATTTCTGCTATAATTGCTATAATGTTAAGAATGGAAGAAAGGCCAGACACAATGGCTCACACCTATAATCCCAACAATTTGGGAGTGGAGACAAGAGGACTGCCTGAGTCTGGGGGTTCAAGACCAGCCTGGACAACTTGGCGAGACCTTGTCTCTACAACAGATAAAAAAAATTAGCCAGGTGTGATGGCATGCAACTGTAGTTCCAACTACTTGAAAAGCTGAGGTGGAGGATTGCTTGAGTCCAGAAGATGAGCGTGCCACTGCACTCCAGACTGGGAGACAGAATGAGACTCCAATTCAAAAAAATAAAAAAGAATGGAAGAAAGACATTAATTTTAAACAAAAATCATAATACTTACAATTTTGACACTCAAGCTTGAAACTCCATGATCATGAAGTTCATCCTCAAATAGGAGAACTTCTTCAAAAAACTTAATCTGTTCTCTGGCTTTCAATTTTTCTGTATCTATATGATCTGTTGTAGATACAACCTGAAAGAAAAAAATGTAAGGAGAAATACATTTAAAAAAAATTTTTAAGGAGCTACATAAACACAAGAAACTAGTTTTTCCTACCCATTTTTTCTATATAGCCAGAGCACACAGGTCTAAATTTAGGTATCATTGGTAGACATTAGTAGTAGAAAGTGGAAACACTTAAGAAAGTATTGGGCCAGGCTCGGTGGCTCAGCCTGTAATCCCATGCTTTGGGAGGCCGAGGTGAGTGCATTGCTTGAGCCAGTGGGTTCGAGACCTGCCTGGGCAACTTGGTGAGACCTCATCTCTACAATAAATCACAAATTAGCTGGGCGTGGTAGTGTGCGCCTGTAGTTCCAGCTACTTGGAAGGCGGAGGTGGAAGGATCGCCGGAGCCCAGCAGGTTGAGGCTGTGGTGGCCGGGAGCGGCCACTGCACTCCAGTCTGGGTGATAGAGTGAGACTCCAACTCAAAAAAAAAAAAAAAAAAAAAGAAAGTATTAAAAACAGAAGAAAGGAAAAAAAGAAAAACAATGTCCTTCACAAGAATGCAGGAAAAAGATTGAAAACACACATGAATCAACCCAAAAATCAAAAGAAGACAACAGACAAATAAACAAACAGCAGTAACAACAACAAACTCTGTTAGAACCTCATGACAGGGATAAACTCTCACATCTCAATAATTAGCCTGAACGTAAATGAACTAATTGCACCACTGAAAAGAAAGACATAGAATGGCAATTTGGATAAAATATCATGAGGCTATGATATATTGTCTCCAAGAGACTCATCTCATCAGAAAGGACACTCACAGACTCAATGTAAGAGGATAGAAAACAAAGTTTCAGGCAAATGGAACACAAAAGAAAGCAGGAGTTGTGATCTTAATATCAGACAAAATACCCTTTAAGCTATAAAAAATTTAAAAAGATACGGAAGGTCACTACTTAATGATAAAAGATTCAATCCAACAAGAAATATCCATTCTAAACATATATGCACCCAACATAGGAGCACCAACTTTCATAAAGCAGCTGCTAGGTAAACTAAAAAAAGATATTAACTCTAACCTATCATAGCTGAGGATTTAAACACCCCACTAACAACCCTAGACAGATCATCAAGACAAACAGTCAACAAGGAAATCCAGAACCTCAACATGATGCTTAACCAAATGAACTTAATTGATACCTACAGAACACTCCACCCAACAACCACAGAATATACATTCTACTCATCACCACATGGAATGTACTCTTAAGATTGACCACATCCTTGGCCATAAATCAAGCATAAACAAATTTCATAAGATTGAAATTCTGTCATGTACCTTCTCAGACCATAGTGGAATAAAAATAAATATCAACACCAACAAAGTTCCCCCCAAACCCACAAAGGCATGAACACTAAACACCATGATGCTAAACAACTCCTGGGTCAACATGGAAATTAAGATACCTGGAAATTAAAAGATACCTGGAAACAAATAAAAACAAAGAAACATCTTACCAAAATCTCTGGGATGCCATGAAAACAGTACTAAGAGGGGAATTCATATCTATAATTCATATCTCTATGAACACACATGAAGAAAATGGAAAGATCACAAGTTTACAGACTAACAAATCACCTAACGGAGCTGGGAAAGCAAAACCACCAAAACCCTAACTTCAGCAGAAGAATCCAGATCACCATAATAAAAGCCCAAATTCAGGACATAGAAGACAAAAAGATAACACAAAAAAATCAACAAAATAAAAGCTGATTCTTTAAAAGGAATAAAAGGATTGATGGACCCCTAGATAGACTGGCCGAGAAAAAGGTCAAAATAAACACAATCAGAAGTGCAAAAGATCAAGTCACAATTGACCCTGAAGAAATACAAAAGATTATCTGAGATTACTATGTATACCCGCATGGAAACAAACTCGAAAACCTAAACGAAATGGAGAATTTTCTAACATCACACAACCTCCCCCAGGTTGAAACAAGTAGAAATCAAGACCCTAAATAGACCAATAACAACCCAGGAAATCAACTGTGTTGTAAGAAAACTACCTACAAAAAAAACCCTGGACCAGATGGCTTTCCAGCAGAATTCTACAAAACATACAAGGAGGAGCTGATACCAATCCTGTTGAAAGAATTCCAGGCAATTGAGAAAGATGAAACTCTCCCCAAATCATTTTATGAAGCTAACATTACATTGATACCCAAACCGGGGAAAGATCCAACAAAGAAAGAAACCACAGGCCATATCCTTAATGAACATAGATGCTACAATTCTCAACAAGATTCTAGCAAACCAGATCCAACAAAATATCTCTGAAAACATTCACCATGACCAAGTAGGCTTCATCCCCAGGATGCAGGATGGTCAAACATCCACAAGACCATGAACATAATTAAATACATCAATAGATGTAAAGACAAAACCACATGATCATATCATTAGACATGGAAAAAAATCCAGCACCCCTTCTTGATAAAAACCCTCGAACATCTAGACATAGATGGAACATACCTCAAGACAGTAAGAGCCCACAGCCAACATACTGCTAAACAGACAGAAATTGGAATCTTCCTCTGAAAACTGAAGCAAGACAAGGATGCCACTCTTACCCCTACTGTTCAACATAGTATTGGAATTCCTAGCTAGAGCAATCACACAAGAGAAAGAAATCATGGGTATCCAAACAGAAAAAGAGGAAGTTAAGTTATCCCTCTTTAAAGATGACATGATTCTATATCTCGAAAACCCAAGAGAATCTGTTAAAAACCTCCTTATACTGATAAAGACTTTGGCAAAGTCTCAGGGCATAAAATAAATGTGCAAAAGACAGTCGCATTTCTATACATCAACAATAAACAAACAGCCACCCAAAAAAAGCACAATCCCATTCACAATAGCCACACACAAAAAAAATGAAATACCTTTGCATCTTCCTAACCAGAGACATGAAAGACCTCTACAATGAAAACTACAAAACACTGCTCAAAGAAATCAAAGATGACACAAACAAATGGAGAAATATTTCATGTTTATGGATTGGAAGAATCAACGTTGTTAAGATGGCCATTCTACCCAAGGCAATCTACAGATTTAAAGCAATACCCATTAAATTACCAGCAGCATTCTTCTCAAATCTTGAACAATTATCATAACACTGTAAGAAAAGGACTGTCAGTAGTGGAATTCTGCCCGGGGCGGGGGTGGGGGGGCATGGCCTCATTAATAAGGGTACCTGCATAATGAACATTTGTATACATAACCCTGAATTATATCCCACATCTTTAAAACAAAAAAAAATTTTTAATGGTTTTTATATACTGTAAATGACTAGAGAAAAAAAATCAAAAGAAAAATATTTCATGACACACAAAAATTATATGAAATTCAAATATCAATACCCATAAATAAAACTTCATTAAGACATAGCTGTGCTATTCACTTATGTACTGTCTATGAGTGGTTTAGACTCCAGCAGCAGAGCTGAGTAGCTGTAAAAGAGACTCTATGGCCCACAAAGTTTAAAATATTTACTGTCTGATCCTTCACAGAAAAAGTCTGTAGACCTCTGTGTTGACTATGACTGCCTTCAAGTACCTGTCAGATATAAGCAAAATCCTCTCTGGAGGAAAGCAACATCATCCTAGCATTCAAACAAAAATAAAGAGGCATATTAAGAGCCTAAACATCATAATCCAGAGTCAATAGACAATGAAGTATTAAATGGCTTATGCTCTCTGCAAAGTTTTTCAATCACAAGAGAGTAGAATAATCTATGAAGTATTATAAGAGATTGAAATTACTCTGCTCTCCCATTAGACTCTAAAAAATGGAATTTTTGTCTGTTTTCTGCTGTATACATGGCTCTCAGGATTAGTGCCTGGCAAGCAGTAAGAGCTCAAAAAGTATCTGTTGAATGAATGAATAAATAAATACATGTTCCCAAAAAAACTTTGTTTCTTTTTGAAGCACAGAAAAATAGTTAAAGCTTAGAATGTAGAAATAGCAGAAACTGAAGATAAGTATTGGGTTCTTGCTATGAATTCCACCTTTCCAAGACTCCAAAAATTTCTGCAGAGATGAGCTCATACACAACTCTATCTTCTTACTATTTCTGCCTAAGCACCACCTATAAATCACAAAGTGTTGGGATTACAAGTGTGAGCCACCATGCCCAGCCTCCAACAGTTACTTTTGATATAGTTTATACTGAAATAATTTCATTCTAATGGCTGGGCATGGTGGCTTATGTCTATTATCTCAGCACTTCGGGGAGCTAAGGCAGGAGAATTACTTTAGCTCAGAAGTTCGAGACCAGCCTGGGCAACCTAGCAAGATGCCATCGCCACAAAAACTTTTAAAAATTAGCCAGTAATGGTGGTGTGCACCTGTAGTCCCAACTACTCAGAGGGCTGTGGAGGAATAATCTCCTGAGCCCAGAAGATTGAGGCTGTGATGAGCAGGGATTGTGCCACCGCATCCAAGCCTAGACAACAGAATGAGACCCCAACTCAAAACAAGAAAGAAAGAAAGAATTTTTTTTATAATAGTCTGTGATATTTAAAGACATGCAACCTAAACCGAATTTGCTTCATTTCTGTCATACTGTGGGAATTAAAAATACAGTTAAGTTCCCAATATTAGACCTACCAATTTCACTTTCCTAGTGTCACTTACTGTGAAGGATATCTCTTCTAAAGCAGGGCTTACACAGATGCAACTTAACACTAATAAAGAGCTTTAGAATTTACTGAGAACTTCCCCATAAATCATTTTATATCAAAACTTTACTGAGGCGGGTATTTCTGTGTATCCAATATACTGATAAAAATGAGACTCAAACTAAGTAACTTACCTAAAATCATACCAGTTTCATACTCAGCGCAGGCAAGACACAAACCTATGATATCTGACCAAAAGTTCTATTTGTCCACATATTTGTTCATCTGTAAATTTGTAAGATGCTAGCTAGCAGGTTCTAAATTACCTAATAAATTACCAACGACAGAAACACAACCTAATGTTTCTTGATAGTGGTAATAATAATACTAAGGCAGTTTGTCATTGTTACCAACCACACTTTCAAAAATAAATATTGTTCCACTCTGGAGTTATTTTATTTTTTGCTGACAAATCAACAACCAAAATCCCCTCACATTAGGTTTTGAAGCCTGCCATGACAGAAAATAAGGACAATGAAAGTGTGGCAAAAAATAACATATTACTAGAAAGTTCTTGCGCTGAGACTGTCCAAGATAACTCATAAAAGCAAAAGGTAAGACTTACCTTTAACTTAAGAGAATCTCCAAGTAACGTTCCCTTATAATCTGTGGTATAGGTCCAGTCATATGGTTTAACAACCTCTTTGGAGTGTTCACCCTCCGTCCTCAAATACCAAAATGAGAAGAATCAAATTCAGTGATGCAGAATGCAGATTATCTGTATTCTTATATCACATCAAATTATATTCTTTCAACAAATAAAATATTCTACAAAATACATATATTTGTCATAATTCACTAGTACAGGGTTTTTCTTACAGTTTTTCTACACATCTATTGTTATTTAACTTGTCATGTGCTGATGTAGTCTTTCCAATTAGTCTGTACACTGCCTGAGGACATGGTTTAAAGGCTTACACATCTTTGTATCTTCCTTAAATCTATGGTACCTCCAAGGTACCTAGTACATAACAGGCACAAAGTAAATAATTCTGATTTGATTATCAAAGAGTACATTTTTTTCTTAATTTCAATGCTTCTCAAATAGTAAATAAATATTTTTCTTACAAAAACAGAAACATTAAGTAAAATCAGCATACTTGCCTCTTCACTAAGGAACACAGGCTTGAAAGAGTAAACTCTACATAGCTCAACTCAATCATAATTCAATTTAATTCAACAAAAATTCAAGTGGTGGAGTAATTAACCTCCATTTTATGGCAGAGAAACATGAATTATAGACAGATACAACTATAAAGTTCAAAAATAATCCCAGCCCTTTATTCTAATAAAACACACATATATGTCATTATTGAATATTTCAATTCTTTTCTTTTTTGGTTAATCCATAACCGGCCAGATTCTTACCTGCTTTCCTGCCATTCTTCAGCACAGGCTACTTTAAGCACTCCCTGGTAGTTATTTACACATCTTAATGCATCTGTAGCATTGAACTCAATCCCAAAGCCAGAGCCATGTTGGATTCTTAAAACATTGTCTCCAAACATCATTTCAGGGAGAGACGGCATATGCAACTCATCAGCTAACCTAGATATAAGCAAAAGTCAGATGAGGTAATTCTATATCACTGCTGGCACTTTTGTTTCCTTTTCATTCCAATAGAAGTCTTCACATATTACTGAATGAGTTAAACAACATATGATTTATTTTATTTTATTTTTTTAAGTCGGGGTCCCACTCTGTCGCCCAGGCTGGAGAGCAGTGGCACCATCACAGCTCACGGCCGCCTCAACCTCCTGGGCTCAGGTGATCCTCCTGTCTCAGCCTCCCGAGTAGCTGAGACTATAGGCATGCATCACCACACCTGGCAATCTGACAGAATAACTAACAGAGATTCCATGCAAGTATGTTTCCCAGTTACTTTATGTACCAAATTCATTTTATTTTGAAAACTTTTCAAAATGTTTTATAGACTTTCTGTGTTTTTTTTAAAGGAATATAATTTATTGGCCGCTGTTCACAACTATTTATAATAAATATACACTTGGATAACATTCTGATTACTACAAAGTTATTGGTTTTCCTGTTTTCTGATGAACCAGTAGCCCAAATACTGAAACGATTGAGCTGTTATGCAAGAAATAAATTGGGGTTTAAAAAAAAAAAGAAAACATGCAGGTCAAGAGCATAGATTATAAAAGTTTGTTCATCCATTTATGCCTCAACTGCCCATACCTATACCATGTGATTAGGTTTCCTTTAGCCAAGTCTTAAACATTCCATAAATCATGACCGTTTAAGCAATATAGCACCAAGATTTCAACTTTTTGTAAAAGAATGACTTGCTACAGGAATCTTTTAAAATGTTACTAAGTCTTGCTTGGCTAATTAAAGACACCAGGTTGTGTTTAGTTTCCTCATCTGAATGGAAGGTTGTTGGTAGTGATAAAAATTTTTCCTTTTGGGAATTTTGCAAATAAACAGTTACATTTATATAACTATAGATATAGATTGTGATATGGCTGCTTTTAAATTATCCAATTTGAATTGCTGACTTTGGGTCTTAAAAAATAAAAAATTTTACTTTGCCTTTGTTTGATGATCAGAGATCATCATATTTCACAGTCATGTAAGACAACGTCCTTAAGTTCAATTGAGTGTGTATGCCTCTTAACTGCTCCTAAACAGTTATCTGCCCCAGAAGAATTCTCATCCCTTCTCATTTGGTTTTGAATCCATTATAGGTTGAAAACTCAAACAAGCACACTTCTTTATACTACATAATGGAAAAAAGGGAATATGAAATACAATAAGCCATTTATTAGGGCAAAGAGACCACAGGGAACTTTTTTTCCCTTACATTTTCCATATAATTACAAAGTGCAATCGAGTCAAAAATTTAAAAATGCTCTTAAAGCACAAGATTAGTGCAAGCGCTCTATAACAGCTCCCTTAGCTTTCTTTCCTTTTTTCCTGTCACCCAGGCTGGAGTGCAGTGGTATGATCCCAGCTCACCAGAGCCTCGACCTCTGTACTCAAACAATCCTTCCACTGCAGTCTCCCAAGTAGCTGGGACTTCAGGCATGAGCCACCATGCCTGGCTAATTTTTTATTTTTTGTAGAGATGAGGTCTAACTATGTTGCCATTTCTGGAGTTTTGAGTAGCTATATAGCTACAGTTGTTAGGTAAAGTAAAATAATACTATATTAAAGGCACAGTCATACATAAAGTCAATGACGGATCCATGCATATCCCAAGTCCACAATTATCCTCTTTCTAGTTGTTTTAAATCAATTTCCAATTGCACATCATAAACAGGTCTTTGAATATACATTAAAAACAAACAAGTAAAAACTTCTCCATAACCAGATTAAACAATTTAGGTTTGAGATGTAAAAATACCGGTCCTTATTAGGAACATCTATCTCACTTCTGGATCACTAAAGGCCAATTACTTTCAAGACAAGATGGTCTTAATTACATTATGACTGCCCAGGGGATAACAATGCCCATAGTTCCATGTGTCTGCAAGCGCCACATTTCTGGTGAACATTTTCTTCTTATATGACAACTATATTAATGTTAGCTATGAAGAAAAGATAGCAATGAAAGATCCTGTCACTTACAGGAAAATAATTTTTCTAGCAAAATTCTCAACTTGTCGTAAGTTTCAAAAGGTAGGGATTTAAAAAGCAAATGCAACTGACACTAATAAGAGAAACAAGTGCTTGCTCAGATGGATTTCCAGAAGGATTGGGTCAATTTACATTCCACCCTGGGGCAACAGTCAAGCAAAAAATATCAAGAATTTAATACAATGTAGACTCTTTGACTCAAAACATCAGCCTCGGGATAGTAATACTAAAGAATAATCCCAAATACAGGAAAAAATAAGTAGTTATAATAGCCTTAATTTTAATACTGAAAGAGAAATATTCTGAATAACCAATTATAAAGAAAAAATGATTATGTAACCAAAGTATATCTATATGATGTATTACGGAACCATTAAAAATGTTTAAAGGGAGAATACAATCGTATGGGAAATGCTTATAACAGTAAGGAAAAAACTGGACACACGCTGTATATTTATTGCATCTGTATGTGTATTTATGTGTGTACATCCCAATTATCTAACTTTTTGAGTTGCGCAACTTTAGGATGATACCTAATAATGTTAACTTTTCATCATAAATTTAAGTAAAATTTATTCTTTGTCATTAAGAGATAGAAAATACTATAAACTAAAAATATCAAATAAGATAAAGATTAATTAGATTCAATAAATAAGTTTTAGCTATTTTACTGAATAAGGCATAGCAAATATAAAATGTGACTCTGTGGGTTTTATCCAATATATCTGGAAAAATCTAGTAATCCTATAAAATATTCCAGTTACATATGCAAAAGAATCAGTTACTAGCTTACATTGCTTCAAATGCTCTAAATTCAAAGTTTCTTAGACACAGGCCAAAATGTCTCTCTCTTTTTTTTTTTGAGTTGGAGTATCACTCTGTCACCCTGACTGGAGTGCAGTGGCCGCTCCCGGCCACTGCAGCCTCGACCTGCTGGGCTCTGGCGATCCTTCTGCCTCTGCCTTCCAAGTAGCTACCACGCCTGGCTAATTTTTTATTTATTGTAGTGATGAGGTGTCACCAAGTTGCCCAGGTGGGTCCCGAACCCGCGGGCTCAGGCAATCCACTCACCTCAGCCTCCCAAAGCGCTGGGATGACAGGCTAAGCCACCGAGCCCAGCTTGTCTCATTTTTAATATCAAGCTTTATATTTAGCAAATAGGTATAACCAGTTATAAAGCAGAAAGGCAGAAAGCCCCTATGTTTTCAAAAATGCCTTAAATATTCATTAAAGAAAGCTTCTTTAATCCAATATTTTACCTAACCAATTTATTTAGCACCTTAGAAGTTTTTACACCCTAAGGCAATGCATCTCAGAAAAATTTAGGATGCGTGAGGGTGAGCCTTCCTTTCATCATATGGAGAAAGGACTATGTACACTCAGGCAGATCTACTCCAGAAGAAATACATAAGGAGATTACAGATCTGGAATTGGATTCCCTTGAAACTCTCCATGCATACATCATCTCTTGGAGAGTCGCAGGTGAGTTATATGAATATCCCAATTTGAAGCTGACTGCTTTATATGCAGTATAATTATATATCATGCAATATGTAACGGAAAGTATTTGGAAAGGAAAACTCAATCTGTGTTAGGATGAAGGGAAATTTTTTTTCTTTTCTGTATTTTCTTAATTTTTTTCAATGAGCCTGCAAGAATGTTACAATTTATTTTCTTAAACTAGGAAGCTAAATGTCCTTTCAGGACTCCCTCTCTTCCCTGGCAACGCCTGAATCTTACAACAGAAACGTTCTCTAGGATTCTATTTCATGACCTTTTCTTTTGGATGACTTCTAGATGATCTTAACTCATTCCCTAAATACACAGCTGCTATCTGTTTTGAGAAAAATATACACAAATGCCTGATGAACATCTCCTCTTTATGACCCACTCCAACCTCACATTTCAACAAACCTCAACTCATCCTCTACCCAAAACCTGGCCCCCAAACTCCTCCTCCTCCTGTGCTGTTCACCTTGTTCAACGGCCATGCTGTACATGCAGCAGCCCAAGCCAGAAATCTTGCCATTCTTCCTTGTTTACGTCTCCTCCCATCAACTGGCCATCAAACCTGGGGATTCAATCTAAAACCTCTCCTCTCTCTCCTTCTAGCAGGTGTCCTGGCCGGCCCTGCAGCCTCCAAATCCACCCTCCACATGGCCTCCAAAGAAATCTTTCAGAGCGTACAGCTAATAGTGCAGCTCCTTTGGGTAAAATTACACCCAGGGTTGTCAGATACCATTCAAAACTCCTTAGCCCGACGTAAGAGCTCCCTCAGTGTCTCGACTCCCTTGGGGCCTATCTCTCATTTCTCACAACTCCCCTTCTGGTACCTCACGCTCCAATCACAGGGAAACGTGTCTTCAAACGTGTGGTAGCTCTCACTCCTGACCCCCCGCCCCCAGCTTCGACAAGATTCAGTTCGGGCATCATCACAGTTCACCCTCCCTGGCCTGCTGGCTTTACACACGCCCCTACACCATCCCCCGGTTTTACTCAGATTCCATTCAAGCACCCCAACTTCCCGGACACTTTGTCTCCCTAAAAGACCCCGAATCCCTCTGTGTACACACCTTCCCTACAGTTATTCTCACTGTGGCACAACTGCCTCCCTCACACGACTGTCAACTGCAGCGCAGGGTGTCTTCCATGCTTCGGTACCTCCAGTGCCCGCCCCAGCACCGGGCATGCTAAAATCTAAGCATATATGCCATCTCCGTCACCAATCCCCAAGAAAACAGGCCACAGCCACCCAGAAAGAGGCAACGCGGGCTGGGGCGGGAAGAGACGCTTGGTGAGGGGCAAGTACACCAGAACAGAAGAGTCGTGCCCACTCGACCCAGGTGGAGTGACAGTTTCGCCAAGGCAGCGCCTGGCAACCCCAACCAACGATGCGGAGGCGCCGGGACGATCACCCATCGAGCTGTCAATCAGAGGGGCCGAGCCCCTGACCCGGGGAGGAAGGGTGGGCTGCCCGGCTTCGCCCAGCCCCCAGCCCGCGTCCAGCCCCGCAGCCCCGCAGCCTCACTTCTCCACATCCGCTGACTTCATGATATGGGTCTTGGACGCCGTCAGTTTCCAGGGCCCGAAGGAGAAGTCTTGGTGACTGCTCTGGAAGCCGTGGATCATCATGGCTGAAGCGGAGCTCGCGGGGGCCACTCGGAACAGTCAGGGGGGGCAGCTGCGCGGGCGACACCCGCTTCTCCGCCACGCTCCGACCCAGCCCCGGCGGCGTCCGAGCAGTTATCATGCCCGGCTCCGCCCCGCCCCGCCCACTCCGGGCCGACCCGGACGCGCGCCCTCCTTTCCGCCCTCTTCTCCGCCCTGCTGCCTTTTGCTTCCGGATCAGTTGCTCACTTTGCGTGACCCACGTCTTATGTCACGTCGCGCCACAAAGAGGAGGAAGCGCAGAGGGGCGGGGCTTCCGCTGCAGAAGGTGTGGTCAGGGGCGCACCGCCTTCCTGAGCTTTTTGGGTGACGTCATCTCGGGGCGCTTAAGGAATGGCAAGGTGAGTCCTGCAGGTTGCTTACAGACTTCTCAAAGCAGTGTAATTACCTGGTGTGACAGTGAATCGAGGTAGAGAGGGAATGCCTAACAGTTTTCTGCTGAGGAAAAAAAAAAAGTACTCTCTAAGAATTTAAGAGGTCCAGCACCAACAAGATTTGGAAGTGGCTAAATAGCTTTTATTGACTATGACCGACTCTCATCAAAAATAGGATCCTAGTCATCAAAGAATTGCAAATTAAAACCACACTGAGATACCATCTAACTCCAATCAGAATGGCCACTATCAGTTACTCAAAAAAACAACAGATGCTTGAGAGGATGCGGTGAAATGGGAATACTTCTACACTGTTGGTGGGAGTGTAACCTAGTACAACCTCTGTGGAAAACAGTTTGGCGATTCCTAAAAGGTCTAAAAATCGACCTTCCATACGACCCCGCAACCCCCCTACTGGGAATATACCCGGAGGAATTCAAATCACTCTATGAAAAAGATACCTGCACACGCATTAGTTATTGTAGCATTGTTCACAATAGCAAAAATATGGAACCAACCGTGCTACCCATCTAAAGAGGACAGGATAAAAAAAATGTGGTACATATACACGATGGAATATTGCACGGCCATGAAGAAGGACAAAATTATGAACTTCACAGCAACTTGGATGGACTTAGAGACCATAATACTGCGTGATCTATCACAGAAACAAAACTGAGTATCACACATGTTCTCACTCATAAGCGGACCTTGGACAGTTATCTTAATGGTATAGGAAAAGGATTGGCAGTAGTGGGAAACTGCCAGGGGAGGAGGGTGCACACCTCATCAACAAGGGTACCTGCATAATGAACATTTGTATACCTAACCCTGAATTGTACCCCGCATCTTTAAAATAAATGTTTTTTAAAAAGAAGGCTTTTCCCAAACCCTGGAGCTCAATTTAATCACTTCCTCCTATGAGCCAACATGTTGATTTCAATCAGCTTCACTTATTCCAGTTAGCACCTGCTGTTGGCCAAGCATTCATTTTATTACAAAATAACACGCACTCCCTTTCTTGTAACTGAAATTGACAGTGGAATTCCAAGACAGGATTTCAGTGAGCAAGATTGTCTGCTCCTTAACATGTGTTTTCTATCTGTCTAACATCATCTAAAATTTCAACTGCTTCTAGCTAGTGTAACAGGCTACTGATTTGCTTAATCAATTATTTACATTTTAGTCTAAGTCATGTTATTATGCAATTTTCTGGCATTGATAGAGAAGTGCCAAGCCACCCTTTCAAGAACTAAGGACTCAGTGCTTTCCTGCCTACCCTCCCAAACATTTGTCTAGACAAGGTTTGATGTAGACTTCCTCTAATAGGAATATTTTAATTTAAATTTAAAATTTAGCAGTTAAGCCAGTTATCTCTGTGACTTCCAATCCAACAGTTGATTAGAGGACTTTAAAGCCATAATCCTTTGGCCATACAAGGAAATGCATTTCTAACGGTACAATTTCAAGCACACATACATTAGAAGGAGATATTATATGGGTATTGGCAGGGAATTTTCAGGGCCCATTCAAGTACCTTGAGATGGAATGATACCTGGGACTTGATGGAGGGAAGGAATTTGTTTTCAACCAAATTGAGAAAAGGATGGTAGAGTCACCAAATCCAAGCATCTACTAGACAAGTTGGTCAAGATTCAGTGCTAAGAACAACCGATTGACCAGTCGGTTATTAACCAGTTATGGAAATGTATGCATTCAAAAAGTATTTTTTGGCTCCTACTGTTGTACTGGAAACTATCTCAGGTATTAAGAGCACAGCAATGGCTAAAACAGACAAGATGCCTTTCATCTTGGAACATACACTATGATACAGAGGATAGGTAATAAGTAAACAAGCAAAATGTATAATTTCAGACATTGATAAATTTTGTTTAGAACATTAAGCAAATTGAGTGGAGAGGGGCAGATTGTGGGAAGTAGGGAGCAGACTGGTATGGATGGAGTGATCAAAAAGCCCTCTGTGGAGGTTACACGTGAGAGAGGCCTGCTGATAGGAAGGAGATTCGTGAGAAATTCTGGAGGAAGAATGTTCCTTGGGAGGCTGAGGTGAGTGGATTGCCTGAGCCTGCGGGTTCGAGACCTGCCTGGGCAGCGAGACCTCATCTCTACAATAAATCAAAAAATCAGCCAGGCGTGGTAGCGCATGCCTGTAATTCCGGCTACTCAGAAGGCTGAGGCGGAAGGATCGCCGGAGCCCAGCAGGTGGGGCTGAGGTGGCCAGGAGCAGCCACTGCACTCCAGTCTGGGTGATCGAGTGAGACTCCAACTAAGAAAAAAAAAAAAGAATGTTCCGTGAAAAGGAAACCCGTGATGGAGGCCATGGGTTTGTCACATTGTAGGAAGAGCAAGAACAGTGTGGCTAGAGCAGAGGGGACTGAGAAGAGACAAGCAGAGACTTGATTATGTAGTTATTGTAATTGATCTTATCAAATGAATGTACAATCTAAAAAATCTGTTAAGCAGAAACCTCTAAACAGTTTGTGCCATCTATGAAGCTCTCATAATTAGGATGTTCTCCTGTAGGTTAAGCTAAAATGTGCTTCCTTGTGATTTATATTATTTGGACCTGGTTTTCAGCAATGGAGCACCATGGAAAAAGTATATTTTTCCTTCCACATGACATTCTTATTTTAAAACTACTTTCAAGCCGGGCTCGGTGGCGCAGCCTGTAATCCTGTGCTTTGGGAGGCCGAGGTGAGTGGATTGCCTGAGCCCGCGGGTTCAAGACCTGCCTGGGCAACTTGGCAAGACCTCATTTCTACAATAAATCAAAAACTAGCCAGGCGTGGTAGCGCATACATGTAGTTCCAGCTACTTGGAAGGCTGAGGCAGAAGGATCACTGGAGCCCAGCAGGTCGAGGCTGCGGTGGCCAAGAGTGGCCACTGCACTCCAGTCTGGGCAATGGAGTGAGACTCCAACTCAAAAAAAAAAACAAAAAAAACTACTGTCATGCCTTCCTCTTGTCTTTTCATATATCCATTCACCTATATATTTGTTTATCTATTTATCCATCCATCTAGTCATCCATCCATCTGCCTGCTTAGTCAATGAATGTTTATATTTTAAAATATGAGGCACAGTACTTAGAGAAAAGCGTTACAATGAATATTATGAATAAGTGATGATATTCTTCAGCCTTGAGCACCTTGGCTGAAATCATCTGTATCAGGTACCAAGGATATAGAGATATATACAACATTGTAATCTCAAGGAGTTTGCACTCAAGGATAGGCATGAAGCAAATAAATGCAAACAATGTATATTTAGCATCTGGGCAATAAAATGGTGTGCATACACAGACATAGTATAGAGTAGAAGGGTTAATTAATTATTCTATGAAGGTTAGGAATGATTCACAAAGGAGCTGATCCCAGAACAAGGTTTTAAAGAAAAAATAAGATTTCACCAGAAGAAGTCAGTCCACTTCAAGGACAAGGAACAGCAGATGTATGGGTGTGAAAGCATGGGACAGCACAGCATGAGTGTGAGAAATGGTGGGTGTGGGAAACAGAGAGCTGGCACCCTTTTGCAAGGTAGCTACCTCAGATGCGGTCATCCTAAAGCCTTCAAGTCAGGAACAACTTTAGCAGACAGAGGGTTGCAGGACCTGACGTCCTCTCAAATCATAGTACTCCAACTCTAAATTTCCCACTGTTGGCCTCATAAACGTCCTGTATTCACACAAAAGCTCCATAAGCCTACAAACTGTACCTATGGTGACGTTCAGTAACCAGTAGGATATAACTGCAGCTTGTTATTCGGCTAAATTAACCTTAGGGCAATAAGAGGTCAGAGATACTCACAATAGTCTAAGAAGCTGCCTAGTTTTCTGGCTTACAGTCCACTAGGCCAAGGATTTTAAGTTACAGATTCAATTTTTTTTGTCCAGTGGCTCCCCTGAAATTTTTACCATGCACACTTAACAAAAGTCTATTAATCTGTTTTACTTCTCTCCTCTCAAACAACAAAAGGACCTTAGAGTGTTTTAAATCTAACTACTCATCTCACTTTCTGTTGTTTTCCTCCCAGGTCTTTAAACATCCACTCTCTGAATTCCTAATTTTAGCAGCCATCTAAACTAAATTTTAAAAAAAATTTCTCCAAAGGAATTGTGCTTATCTCAAAACAAAACAGAGGAGACAGCAATGAGGCTAAAGTAGGCCACAAAGAAGAAACCTTCCTGAGATTAGTGGACTGCGACCACAGGTAGTGGACCTCTGGACACAGATTGCAGCTCACGGGGAGCTGACCCGGGGCCTGGATTGGCCTCCAGGAATCATGTACCAGAAGGAGGCCTTGGTGCCTGCCCCCCTTTAGTGATGATGAGAATATTAAGCAAAACATTCCCGAAAGGAGTCGAATATCTTAGTTGAGTAACTGCTGATTGAAAGTAAGAGAAACCCTCTTCAAATTAGCTTTAGCAAAGTTGTCTATTCCTTAAAAAAAAATGCATTTAAGGATTTGTAGTTACCTCAAGGCATGTGAAGAGAAAGTGAATAACCAGGCCTAGGAAGGAGGGACTCAAAAGCTGAAAAACCAGGGTGGTGGTCAGCTCTATGCAGTCTCTCTAACTCTCTCCACATCTCCTAGTCTCTCTGGGTCCTCTTCAACCTGTGTGTCTGCTTCCTTCTCCGATTTTTTCAGACAGGTTCTCTCTGCTTCTTTTTGTATTTGGTTCCCCCTGCCAGAACTTCCTAGTAGACATCTTGATAGCTATCTCTTGGTTCACATTTTATTTTCCCAGTCTGGGTGTGGTGGCTCATGCCTGAAATCCCACACTTTGGGAGACTGAGGCAGGAGGATTGCTTGAGC